GTGATGACAACATTAATAGGAAATGTATGCTCTATGTTGTGAAATTTTAGAAAGGAAAGTCATTTAGCCATTGATTTTTATTATCTATTGTATTCCTTCATATGAAACAGACTGCATAGCATCCAGAATATCATTTCAAATGTGATCTTTGCTGGTAAGATTTCATCTGCCAACCTAAACCTTTCCTTTTCAGAATAATATGCAAGTGTTTGATTGGGTTAAAATTGGGCAAACAAGCTAACCACTTCATCAAATGTCTTTAAAATTCATTTTATTCATATATTCATTAGTTTCTTTTTTCACTGAATGTAATAGTGCATTGTCATGCATGAACATTATCCTCTCTCTGAACCATAGTTCCAAGTGTGCCTTCAAAAGAATCAATGTACATTTGAGCTGTCATTTTAACACCATTTGAAACTAGCTATGGATCCATCACTTCACTATCTATAATCCCACCCCAAAATATCACCTTCACTTTGTTTACATCTCAACATGTGTTGAGAGGTTTCCACAAGGAGATTTTCAAGCTTTGTTCCATTGGGCTCATTGAAGGTAGCACAGTACACATTAGTGAAAAAGATTAGTTCAAAAATAGGTCTTCCTGTATTCCGTTTCATTCAATTTTCCTTATTTAAGAGAAGCCTAGTGTTTTGCCACATAATTTAGGACTCAACATTTTGATAACTTGGCATTAGATTATTTATTTTATTTTTATTTTTTTTATAATTTCTCTATTAATCAAGAACATAGATTGGCTGAATGGTGAAATGGATAACAGCTCGGAATGAGAAATCAGAGTCAAGTTCAAAATTCAGATTACATTTTGAGAGTTAACAGCACATATCTTGAGTTTCAAAATCTACATGTCGGAAGTTGGCTGGTCACTTCTTCATAGTATGACAAGCATTTATCATTCAATGTTTGTATCATACACTCGTGTATTTTTTTAAAGTTTTTTTTTTTAGTTCTGCAGAAATGGCTTTGAAATAAACACTTGAAAATTCCACATTTTTCCTTGACACCATTCAGTCAATAATCACAAGAGTCTTGTAAATTGACACTTTATAATATAGAAGGACACTCTTTCCAGCTACAGTGACAAAACACTCAGATTTTAGAAACAGGGTTGGTTGGGATGAGAACTTTTCAACATACACTTGTAGCAACTTTCATGCCTTCTAAACTTTAACTGATATCGAAATATGAAGAGAAAAATTGAATTTGATGATGGCCAACCCTAATATGTCCTTTATAACATAATAAATTGAAAACAGCTGTTTTTGTATTGATGAACATATTCCTTTTTTCTATTCTTTTTTTTTTTTTTTTTTATCACTGTCACTTATGGTAATAAACTTCACCTACCTAACAGCATAAATAAAAACTTTGAACTTGTGACATCTACTTCAATATCCTATCCATGATCTGTCTAAGGATAACTGAACTTAGACAAATTTATTGTTGTTGACATTTATTTCATTACAATAAAAATATAGTTATTGATCAATGGATTTTTCTTTCTAAGCAGGATAATGTTGTATTATATTCAGCTATGAGTTCAAGAATGTGACAAACAACCAGTGTATTTTAATCTTATTGCAGAATGTTATGTAACAAGTTAATGATTTTATTTGAAGTAACTTGGCACTCACTTTCTCATTAAATCATTACATATACTGACCATTTTCAGATTTTAAAATCTGATTTTAAAGCATTGATTAATTAAGATTTTTATTTTTTTTTAGTATTTAATATTTAAAGAATAAATATATATATATATATATATATATATATATATATATATATATATATATACAAGGTCATGTTGAAAAATTCTCTGCCCACTCAAAAAAACCATGTGTTCAGAGATACTAAAAGTAGATTGGTTGAAAACTTTTCAATGACACTTTATAAAATAAAAATTTTTGCCTGTTTAAAGCAAGCATCCATCTGCATGTTTAAAAATATTAAGCATCAGGAGAAGCTTGTATAAAGATTGAAACATCACAATTAACATTCCTTCTCAATTTTTTATTCCTATTAAAATCATATGTGAATAATTTGATCAGTTTATATATATATATATATATATATATATATATGTTACATAACTCTTAAGGACCATAAGCCTGACTTTTTAGAAAACCCTACAACAAGAATAATCAACCCTACCCAACCCGACATAGGAAAGATTAACAAAAGGATCCTGGAAAAAATTACCTGCCAAATAAAAAAACAACTGGAATTAAAATTATGGATCAATACTAAAGATGTCATCAATTGGTTTAACTATATTGATGATAAACGAATTGCACTTTTAATACAGTTTGATATCGTGGATTACTACCCATCAATTTCGAAGGATTTATTTATGACTGCCCTGGACATTGCTGCTGTGTATTCTAACCTGACAAAGGAAGAAACAGATATAATCCTCAGCGCAAAGAAATCGGTCCTCATTCAGAATGGAGACCAATGGATAAAAAACAATAACGACCTGTTTGACATCACTATGGGATCATTAGACTCTGCAGAGTCTTCTGACCTTGTTGGTCTTCTAATACTGTACAACTTAACGGTACATCGCGAAATTGATATTAAGGACATCGGGCTGTATAGAGATGACAGGCTCATGGTGGTGAGGAGTTCTACTAGTTTTAAGATTGAAAAAATCAGAAAAATTATATTTAGTGAATTTAAAAAACTAAACTTAAAGATAATTGTCTCTTCTAATTTGAAAAGGGTAATCTTCCTCGACGTAACTCTAGACTTACCAGGCAATACATACCAACCTTATAGTAAACTAAATGCTAACCCTTTATATATACACCTGAAGTCAAACCATCCTCCATCCATAATTAAACATATACCCTCATCAATAGAAAATAGAATTAGCAATAACTCCGCTAACAAGGAAATATTCCAACAACACAATGGCTTCTATAACACTGCCCTAAAAAATAGTGGTTATAAAAATGCTAACATTAACTATAGAGAAAATTGCACTGGTCATAGGAAAAAAAAACAGGAAAAGAAAAATCATTTGGTACACCCCCTCCGTTCAACCAAATGGTTAGTATTAAACTAGGACAGAAATTCTTAGCTCTAATTGATAAACACTTCCCCACCAATAGTAAGCTTAGTAATATATTCAATAAGAACACCCTAAAATTGAGTTACAGCTGCTCTGAAAATCTTGAACGTATAATAAAAAAACACAATAATAAGATCTTGAACAAAACCCCATGCCTAAATAGTATTAATAAAAACCCTGCACTTAAATCAGACAATAAAAGGAAAAAATTATGTAACTGTAGAAACCTAGAAGACTGCCCATTAGAAAATAAATGCTTTATTAAATCTGTGGTATACCAATGTACTATATCATCCACTGAGAGCCCTAGCACTAATATGATATACATTGGGTCCACGAAGAATAATTTTAAAGATAGATGGAGGCAGCATAAGTGCTCTTTCAATAATATAAACAAAAGAAATCAGACTTCCCTATCTAAATATTTTTGGCATCTGAAGGAAACAAATAGGACACCAAAAGTTAAATGGAAAATTATAAACAAGGCTAGAACATGTAAAACTTGGGATGACCCATGCCCTTTGTGCCTCCATGAAAAATTGCACACATTATTAAACTTCAAAATAATAATAATCTATTAAACAATAGACACGAGTTAACGGTTTTTTGTAGACATCATCAGATTTTTGGTTTGAATTATTAGCTAAAAAAAAAAAAAATATAATAACTTGTTTAACAAATAGCCCAATCATCAGATTCATGGTTTGAATAATTAACTAAAAACATGCATACAATATAACACCCTTCATAATCCATAGCCCAAATAAATAGTTTAAATACCTTACAAAAAAAGATAACCCTTTATGAAGTCGTCAAAAAACAAACGTTACGAAAGTTTTTTTTTTTTTATATGCACAATTCCCTTTCATAAAAAAATAAAATAAAAAAAATAAATAAATCTCCATAGACATGCAAACTAGACGAAGGGTTAATACATCTTCCGTTTAAAATTTAGACACCCTTACCTTTCCCTGACTTGACATCTATGAAAGTAACTCTATACTGATACTTATTATTAACACCCAACACTCGCCTACCCAATTTAAACAATTCGCCCTAGCTGTTACCATGGAAATTTTGATTTCAATTTTTAAAACACGTAAATTTCAGATATACGTTATTCAAAAAAAATTTCGCTTGAAGATGGAACAGAGCTTTTTATTTTAACTCAATTTAATTTAAATAATTATATTGAAGTTTTCGGCTCTTGTTTTGAAACATGAGACTTCTTATGTAGCGATTTGGAATCATATTTTTAAATAAATATATATATATATATATATATATATATATATATATATATATATATATATATATATATATATATATAAGGAACTTTAATAATAAATTATTTGTAAGACTTAAAAAATTATAAAAATTGAATTATTCTTAATGTAAATATCTTTTTATCAGCTTTTTTATCAGTCCCACAAAACTTGTTTCTTATAATTCTTGGTTCTTAACATCCTCATCAGGATTGTCTTTATCTGACTTAATTGTTTCAAATTTACTTAAAACTCTTTTATTTTCTTGGTAGTTGTACAAAGGCACAATAAATTTTTAAAGATAATTGCCATCACTTAATCATAAAATTAAGTATAATTTTTAAAAAAATAGTCTATTCTATTGTTAATCTTTTAAGAATGCTTACTAATTATTTTATTAGGATAATTATAAAAATGTGTAGTTTTTTGTATAAAAATGATTTCACCAGATTATTTCCATTTAAAATTCACTTGAATTTGATTAATATAATGTTGCATGTCTATTTGTTGATTTTGACGAAAATGTATTGTTTTTATAAATTAAGGAAAGTATTAAAAACCATGAATTTTTATTGTTTTTCCTCAAAGTTCTGTTCACACTTTTCTGACATTTGTTAATAACATTTTACTTTTTGCAGGTATCTTGTAATGGAATTAATGGATGCAAATCTGTGTCAAGTAATTCAGATGGATTTAGATCATGAACGAATGTCTTACCTTCTGTATCAGATGCTATGTGGGATTAAACATTTGCATTCAGCAGGGATTATACACAGAGTAAGTACATTGTCAGCATTATGTCTTTATGTAGACTAGACTAAATGACTTTTTTTTTTTATTCATTTCATGAACCTGTTATATGCTTTTATATTTTTCTACCATTCTTTTCTATTGTGCAACCCTGCAAAAAGAATTTATCTTTGGCTAGATATTCAAAAAAAAATTAATTTATCTTTTATTATACACTGATGGTATTTTTCTATTTATCTTTTGAAATTTGATTCAGCATTTAATACATTTAAACATCTACCAACTTGTAATTTTAAATTGGTTTTGGCATTCTTTTTCTTTTCTGGATGCATCTCTTAATGCAACTCTTTAACGTTACAAGTTACATCCAAAAAACAGTTTGTTTGTTTTTTTTTTCATTTTTATATAGCTTTTAAAATTATTTGCTTAATATCCTTAAACAGAAAAGGCCATCAAAATCAAAATTTCCTTTTTTTTGTTGTGAAAGATGTAATTGTATGAAACAACTTCAAAATTAAACATTGTATTGAATCTTTTTAAATAACAACAACTGATACACACATTAAGAAAATCCTAGGAAATCCATCTTTATCTAAATTACATAAGTTTATGTTGGGCAAAGGAATGACAAAGTAGAAAAAAATTCTCTATTGCATTTCATCCTCAAGAAGGACTTCATCAGACTAAAGTAATGTTTTTGCTGATGGAATTATATATATGCATGGGAGGAGTAGATATAAAAAATGTGATTGTCAGTGCAATTATATACCAAGAGGAAGCAAGATGTGGAAATGCTGAAATTTAAAATTTTATTTTTTTCCCACTTTGTCATTAATTTGCCTAATATTTTTCTGACATATAAAAATTTATACAGGGTACAGTAGAAATACCTCCTGCCTCATGATGAGACATAAGACAACGGTATCTTCATCTCGCTAATGTCTTACTGTTATTTAAGAGGTATTTCTGCTGCACCTGTATATCATATTCTCCCGTAACTATATAATAATAAGTACTGACCTGATACTAATAAAAAATTCAATATGTTCAATAAGTTTATTAGGAAAAAAACCTTTTGTTTCTCAAGCAAAAAACTTTGTAAATAATTACATGAAACAGAAAGTTGAAATAAATAAATAAGAATTCATCCAACACAAGTGAATCTAAATATAAAACTATTTAGCTTTAAAGTTGTTTTGTAGTATTGCTATCAATGCTGATCAAATTTGAAAATCTACCAAATGCCACAAGTGAAGTAGTTTATGATTATAATAATGTTTTTCATCCCTTCATTAAATTAGAGAACATTGGTCACCACAGAGGATGCTAAAATGTAGGACACAACAGACTATTAGTAAATTATTTGAGTGATAATAGTATAAGTAATATTTAACACAAATATTCAGCATTAATACATACTATTTGATTAAATGTTTAAAATGTTCAAAGCAAATATTTACTAGTGGATATACTTGGGAGTCTAGAAATTGTTTTCTCATTTTGACATCTACCTACAAATGTTATATTTACATGTCCTAGATAATCAACATGAATGCTCTCAGTAACTATTTCAAGATTATTTCCAAATTCTAATAATCAGCTAACAGACATAAGAGTAGTACAAAGTTTATTGAAAGTACATATATAATAATAAGGATACTCTCTTTGGCAATAATTCATTATTATTATTATTATTATCATTGTCATTATCAGTCTTAGGGCCTCTGTGCAGCTGAGCACCTGATCTCTTTCCTCTACATATCTGCGTTAAAATAGCATGTCTTGAACAAGTAGACCTGGCGGATTCCATCCCTCTCCAAGTTAAACTACAGCCAATATCTTCCAACTTGAAAGATTGCCTTGATCACAGACAGACTGTTGATTCTCTCAGGGAATCTTTCTAGTAATTCATTGGGTTTAATTTAGCCATTTGGTGTGAGGTGTTCTATTATCGTGTTTATTTATTTGACATGTTTATGCATGTTTTCTTATTCAACTTATGTTTACCAAGCATCTTCAAGCAACAAAAGTGACGGTAAAGAAAAACTGCATTCATAACACTGCTCTGGACTACATATCCATTTTGGTATTGTTTATACATTAAAAATCAACACTAACAAAGCACCTAAAAGATAACTAGGCCACTGACAACAAATAAAAAAACTTCCTAATTCTAATAATTATCTAAATGTAACAGTTTGGTTTACCGAATTTCAATATATGAAAGCTTTACTTGTAGAAAAATAAATTGAAAATTTTCTTTTTCTTTTAAATAATACAATTTGTTCAATTTTTATTAAAAGCAGCAAATTAAAATTAAAACCTGAAAATAAGAATATATTCTTTCAAAATATTGTTTGGGGATTATCTTTAATCAATTTTTTTTATTGTCAAAGATTAACTTATAACATCCAAATGGATTACTGAAAGTTGATTGCCTGTTTATACAGGATATATATATATATATATATATATATATATATATATATATATATATACATAACTAGGATTTGTTATTAAAAAAACCCTAGAATTTTTGATTTGCTAATCAAATCAATCTAAAAAAAAAAGGTTTTTAAAAAGAATAAAAAATAAATTTTCAATACAACCGTAGAGCAGACCTAGATACACCTAGTGAACCAGACAAACCTACCTAGGTTTCACCTAAACGGATCGTCAGGGAAAGTCACGTTTTATTTATATATATATATATATATATAATAATATATATATATATATATATAAAACATATATTTTCTCTAAAATAATCTGCATAAATGGTTTAGAAAATATAAAAATATAAAATCCACAAACACAGTCAGGAAAAATAACCCGAAGATTTTAGTTCATTAAATTAAACTGACAAATATTTGAAATTATCCCAGAATTTATGTCCCTTTGCATTTTATAGAACTGCAATCATGAAAATAAATCATTCTTTCTTCCACATTTCTTTTGCTCTGATTTATAAAAAAAGGAAAATATTTCTAAAGACCTTTTTTTTTTTTTTTTTTCTCACTGCTTTGACTAACATTCACTTCAAAAAAAGTTCTCAGCCTAATTCCCTTTCTGAAATCTGACCAAAAGAATCTTTTGGAAGGCCTTTCTAGCCAGACAACTTTTCACTGTCCCCTCACAGCATTGTTTTTATTCACTTGTAAAAAAAAAATAAGCAACAGCAAATGTCTTGTTGAAAATCAGGAAAGTAGTAGAGAATTTTATGCACAATTGTAGAAACACCTTAAATATGTACTAAGTTTTAAATTGTTTTTACTTAAGTAAGTAATTTGGACAATTTTTAATATTATGAATATATCATTAGAACTTCAAAGGCTTTATGACTAGTTGATGTTCTTTAGTATTTTAATGTATTGGGTTTTACTATTGTCTTCTATTGAATAGTCAGTTGTTTTGACAATGTATATTCAATTAAAATTAATTATTCAATAAAATACAATAATAAAACCCAATGCAAAATGGTAACTTTTAAATTATATCTACATAAAGTTGCTTAACTATTTTAGATGTCTCTATAAGATTTCATAAAAATAATCTATAAATTATAATTGACAGATTTCACTATTTGATTGATTCAAATTTGTAATTGATTACCTTTTGTGTATTTTTCTTTCAATTAATATTATTAGTAAGTAAAGATAGGCACATTCCTAATTTTTGTCTTGCCTATAATTACAAATTGTTGTCTTCTGAAATATATTTTATCCTTATGTTATTTATTGCCTTTTCCTTCTCTGTTAGCAACTAAATTACAATATTGAAAAGCTAGTCCAGATTTGAATATCATTGTATATCTTGTGCTGAATATTGTACTGTTTAATATAAAAGTATTATACATTAGTTATAAAAAAATATCGGGTAGTAATAGACAATAGTCATAATACAATGTACTGAATACATTTCAAACTGGTTTTGTCATTTGTGGATGTTTTTGGCTACAAATGTTACTCAAACAGGTTTCACTTGTATACAAGCTTCATGCTTTATTGATCTCTTGTTAAAAAAAAAGAATTTCAGTACTGTATTGAGAAAATCTATAAAATGTGATTGTATATGCATAAATACAGTACTGTGTGAATTAATTGGGATAGTGACTTCAATAAAAGAGAGAAATGAAATATTGTCAAATTATGTTTATTTTTTCCAAAAAGCTTTACATAACTGTTCTAAAATGTCACAAATCAGTATTTTATATGTCTGCCTCTACTTTTAATGAGCATTTGGATACATTTTGGCATAGATTTGGCCAGTTTCAGACGCATGTTACCCAATTCTTCATTGTGATACCATACCTGAATGACCACACAGATTAGCTTCTCCATGGTGGTACAGTTGTGTTTTATCAGTCATTGCTTCACAATAATCCACAAGTTTTCAATGAGGTTCAGGTCAGGGGAATTTCCTGACCAGTCCTACACTTTTACACCCTCATTTTGGGAAAAATTCTCTTTCTTTTTTTCTTTTTTTTTCTTTTTTCTCTCCAATGTGTGACAGGTGGCATTATCTTGATGAAACACATCATCTCCATCTGATTAGAATTCTTCCATTGTTGGGAGCATATGAACTTTCAAAAGATCTTCATATTTTGTGCTATTCATCATCCCCCAATTATTCGCAATCTACTGAACCGATTTTCTCTAAAACTGCCCCAGAACATTTTCTTGGGAACGTGTTTTGGCTTTTGCTCAATATAGCCAACTCTGATGGGTTCACCTTTGCTTCTCCATACAAAGTGGGATCGATGACCTCTCACTTCAAAGTGCATTTCATCCAAGAACAACACTTTTTTCCACTCTTCCACCATCCAATCTTTATAAGATTTTGCCCATTGCAGTCGTTTATCCTTTATTTTTCCTGTCAAAAGTTGTTTTTTCTTTGGTTTTCTGGGTGGTCGCTCTATTTCAAGTAGCCATCTCTTGACAGTTAGGTCAGATATGGACACACTGGATTCCACTAAATCTGCTACTAGATCTCTGCTACTCTTCCTTGGGTTTTTAATACAGTTTCTG